TGAGGAGAGACCTGACAGAGATGGTTGTCAGGTCTCCTGGTGTCCAGGGAGGGAGATGAGTGGTCAGTAGTGAGTCAGGAATGTCTCATTATAGTTCTCTCTCACTGTACAGAATGGTCTCAGTCCACTCTATGTTGCTAGTCAAGAGGGACACTCTGAGGTGGTGGATGTTCTGGTGAAAGCAGGAGCTGATGTACATCAGGCAAAAACAAGGTATGTGAGGTGTTGTTTGTGAAACATGTCTGCACTATACATACGAGTGACAATAACCCAATATACTATTTCCTTATGGTACCAAATCATCTAGTAGGTAAATGTTGTCAACTGTGTTTCTTGCAGTTGTAGTAGTTATGATGCAGTGGTACAATAGTAGTAAAAGCAAGCTTCTCAAGAAGATTGGGGGACCAGCCCTCCTATTGGTGGTCCTCCACCCACCTGCCTCCCTTGTAGGTTCAACTAAAGTCAATGAAAACAAAATGTTGTCATCTTGCAGTACGTCAGACCCTGATCCTCCTTGTGGCTAGTGAAAACCCTGTGTAGTAGGTAGAAAATGTAGCATTATTTTACAGTCAACGTGTATTGATTAGCTTGTTTGCATAAATGTGGCCAAATTCAATTGACCACCTCTCTTTCCATGCAGGAAACATGCAATGTTCCTCTGGAGGTAGCTGCCCATAATGGACATACTGAGACAGTTCAGAGACTGTTGGAGGCAGGAGCCAACGTCAACCACCAGAACAAGGTTATGGATAGCCCTGTTCCCAGGCTCACGTGCAGTAGTCTATAGAGATAGGCTCATAATTGGTGAGCCAAGTGAGCCTACTTTTGAATCCAGCTTTTCATACAGTATGTAATGAAAACAAGGAAGCTACTGTCACACATACTGTAAAGGTTTACGTAACTTTAAATGGACGAAATGGAGTTAAATTTACAACCGTCGCTTGTCCCACTTGTGTGTAACTCTCACATTAACTCCCCACATTCATGTTAATATTGTGGACTGACAATTTCTGTTCTCACCTCACACCATGTCCCATGTCCAGTGTTCTGTTGTATGTTCTCTACAGAATGGTGAGACTCCAGTCTACTATGCCTCCTGGAAGGGTCATGCAGCTGTAGTTCAACTGCTGATAGAGAATGGAGCTGACATCAGTATCTGTGATGAGGTATTGTACAGTTGTTACACTCTCTGTAGCTGGTTAAGTAAAACTGCAAACTAGTTGTTTCAGACACTCTCATGTCTCATCTGTTGACCTAAAATACTCCTGTCGATTGCTGTGGACTAAAACTTTCAAGCCATATACAGTGTAAAAATAAATAATCTGGTGAGTAATTGTAGGATTATTGTGCAATGGCTGAAACCAGAGCCATATTAATTTACTACTAGCCTCATGCAGATTGTGTTCTCAGCGCTGTCGGGTTGTCAATGGAGTAGTGAGGCTGAGGCTAGCCATAAAAATGTGGGAAGTTTCATACAAGGCGGCCTTGGATGTAACATGATATCTGCACAAGCTTCAGAACTGAATAATGCACCCCAGTCAATGGAATGTAACAACTTTGCTAACTGGTGATCCCCTTTTATCATTGGCTTACTTTCCACACCCTCCAGTTGTCTGAAATTAGTGCATTGATTTCTAGGCAATGGCTAACAGATAGCCATGCATGTCAGCAAACACTGTTGGTACGTAATTACATGTTTCAGACTGGAAGTAAACCCCACTTCATACTCTCTCACTGTTCAGGATGGTATCAGTCCGCTCTATGTTGCCAGTCAAGAAGGACACTCTGATGTAGTGGACATTCTGCTAGAGGCTGGTGCTGATGTCCACCAGGCCACCACCAAGGTATGATACACAGTTGTTCTAGAGCTAGTCAGCTCATTTGTCCACCAACCATGGTGGCAGTGGTGTAGCCAAGAGCTCTGACTAGGCCTCAACACTGAGATTGGTATGTACAAGAAAGCAGTCAAGCACTTTTGTTAGTGCAACACATGTCACTAAAACATGTGTAAACCTGCGATGCAATTTGCATAATACACATGTGCATGCAACAATTTATGTGTATGTGTATGTGTCTGATCCCACAATAATGGTCTAGTTTCCCGTTGTCTCACTCTACTATCAGCTAGGTATAATACACAGTGTAACATTTTAGGAAACACTACATCCCATACTCACCCTTCATACGGAACTTACTTTTTTCTCTTGGTTTTCGTGAGAATGTAGCACTTTTACGAAAGTGAAAAGCCATAGCTACCATGTTCTGATGCATTGTATGTCTGTGTGTTTGTTAGTGTCGTGTCTCATTCCCTATCCTGTAACATTACTACATCCCATCTCACCCTTCATACTTTTTTATAGCTCCATTTGCACATCTGTGTTCTGACACATTGTATTGTCTGAGTATTGGTTAGTGTCATGTCTCATTCCCTGATTCTCTGAAACCACACTCTGAGGTGTCTGGTCCTCACTGACCTGCCAATGCTGAACTCTACAATTCACAGTTTCTCTCTCTCATTAGAGTGGTGCTGTTCCTCTGGGGATAGCTGCCCAGCAGGGACATACTGAGACAGTTCAGAGACTGTTGGAGGCAGGAGCCAACGTCAACCAGCAGAACAAGGTTTTGGCTAGCCTTTTTCCCAGGCTCACATGCAGTAGT